ACTGCAACTTATTAAACGAGCAGTCCTGGAACAAACGAAAGTAAAACAAGTCAGTCTTCAAATCAGTAAAATATATCACATCAGCTTTATTTTTATCATTAACTGAGAATAACTGGATCCCGATCATAAATTGTTGGCTCCACGGGTGAAAGCGTAAAGTGCGGTGTAAGGAGCTACCCTTAAATCTAGAGGAGTGAGTCAATCTGGGTGACGTTTTGGTAGTACTGGGCTTTTACCGTTACACTAAAATGTCAACAGCAGGATCACCGTCACTATATCATTATGGAGATATATTGTAAACAAGGAGTAGATTGTGTTCCCTCAAACTATTTTCCAGTGGTCACATTATGTACTCAAAAGTAAATCATGGAAAAGGACAAAACTAAACAGGCATCAGTTATAACACCTCCGTGGAATTAAAAAAATTGCACCTCTACCATCTGTCTCTATTATTTATCTCATATCCTAGAAAAAAAAACTTAGGCGAGATCAAATACCATGAAATCTCTTCAACCAGGTTTACCCAAGTTTAGATGAAACATAAATTGCTATCACCCCAACTCTAAAGTCTCCTCAAACGCATTTCAACGCAGAGCCCTTACCTTAAGTGTCCGTGAAATCAAATTTCCCCTCCCCCTTTCTTCCAAACATGAAAAGCACCATCTACAACAACCACCTACCCAACTCTTATTCTACTAAATAGAAGAAACTGTCGCCAAAATGAATGTAAAACCTTAAACACGGAAAATGATATTTCAGTTCTGAGCCCTCCGAACTGAGGAATCGAACCGATGACCCATGCATAACCACTGAGATACCAGTTGGGTGATCTCACTGCTGATCTATAGACTCACGGTGTGTAAGACATGTCACACTTGTCTTGCTGAGTAATGATAAAAGAATAAATGAGAATGCATGCTCAGTACACAAGTACGCAAGTCACCATTCCATTTCTCATTATCTAAAAGATGTAATATCAGTTTCATCACCCCGATGAAAGAGCAGTTGACAAAATACTTCCGTTGATAACTGTTACATCTCACGCCATCACAAC